TTTGAAGAAATAATGGCAGAAAACTTCCCTAACCTGGTCAAGGAAAAAGTCACACAAGTTCAGGAGGCACAGAGAGTCCCAAGCAAGAACAATCCAAAGAGGCCCATGCCCAGATACATCATAATTAAAATGCCAAAAATTCAAGACAAAGAGAGAATGTTAAAGGCAGCAAGAGAAAAGCAATCTGTTACCAATAAAGGAGCTTCCATAAGGCTGATTTCTTATCAGAAACTCTACAGGCCAGAAGGGAATGGCATGAAGTGTTCAAGGTAATGCAAAACAAGTATCTGAATCCAAGACTACTCTATCTAGCAAGGCTATCATTCAAAATAGATGGTGAAATAAAGATCTTCCCAGACAAAAAAGCCTAAAGGAATTTATCACCATTGAAATAGTGAGAGACATAGGTGTAAAGAAATACAATGGCAATAGATAAGTACCTATCAATAATAATCTTAAATATAAATGGATTAAATGCTCCAATCAAAAGACATACTGTAGCTGAATGGATAAGAAAACGTGACCCAAATATATGCTGTCTACCAGAGACCCACCTCAGAACAAAAGACTCACACAGGCTGGAAAATAAAACCCCACTTCTGGAGGATTTTAAAAGAGAGCTTGATAGCAATACAGTCATAGTAGGGGATGTTAACACTTCACTGGCTTCTCTGGATGGATCTTCCAGACAGAAAAATCAACCATGAAACAGTGACTCTATATGACATAGTAGATCAGATGAATTTAATTGACATTTACAGAACATTCCACCCCAAAGCTGCAGAATAGGCATTCTCCTCAGGTGCACATGGGACATTCTGAAAGAGCACATGTTAGGACACAAAACAAATTTCTACAAGTTCAGGAAGATTGAAATCATATCAAGCATCTTCTCAGACATTTACACCATGGAATACTATACAGTTGTAAAAAAAGAAGCATCCCTTACTCTATGAGAGAACATGGTGAGACCTGGAGGTTATTATGCTAAGCGAAATAAGCCAGTGAGAGAAAGTCAAGTGTCACATGATCTTACTCATATGTGGAATCTAATGAACAAAATAAACTGATGAACAAAATAGATCCAGAGACGTAGAAGCATGGAACAGACTGACCAATCTCAGAGGGAAGGCAGGGGCCCGTGGATGGGTGGGGAGAGATTAATCTAAGAATTTATACGCATATATGCATAACCCATGGACACAGACAATAGTGGGGTGAAGGCCTGGGGGAGGAGTGCACAGTAGACGGGGTCAGTAGAGGGGGAAAAGGGGATATTTGTAATACTTTCAACAATAAAGATTAACTTTATTTTTAAAATTTTTAAAAAATTCTTCAAAGATATCTTTATTGATTTCAGAGAGAGGAAAGGAAAAGGAGAGAGATAGAAACATCATTGATGAGAGAGTTGTTGATCGGCTGCCTCCTGCACGCCCCTCACTGGGGATCGAGCCCACAACCCAGGCATGTGCCCTGACCGGGAATCAAACCCCGATCGCCTGGATCCTAGGTCAACGCTTAACAGCTGCACCACGCCCGGCCAGGCAACGATAAATTTTTTAAAAAAAATTATCATCTCCTTGGGTGAGGATAAAAAATAGATTTAAAACAAAGAAAATAAAAAATTTATTATTAAATATAATATCATGATTTTTTAAACATTCAAATGATACAAAAAAGTGAAAAAGAGAGATTCCTCTTCCCCTAATTTTCATCCTCACTTTCCAGAGATATTCACTGACTGTTAATAATTCCTCTCATAATTTACATTTAAGTATATTGATATTGCCTTTATTTTGAGTATTTAAATATGTGCTGTGATTATCTTGTGTTAATGTATTTATTTTCCTTTTTTTCTTTTAGCTTTTTATCCACAGTGTACATATTTCATATATAACCCAGGTGCAAGCTGTGGGTACTGAGCATGGACTATTTCAAAAAGTTGGACTTGATGCTTCTTCTCATGCCATTCCATGCCCTTTAACTTGTGACCTTACACAGAAGGAGGCTTGTAGACTGAGCTGAGGGCTCATTCTTGTGAATCTCATATTCTTTCTATGTGTGTGTCTCTATTTTAGACTATTTGCTGAGAGGTATTAGAGGAGAGGATGGTTGCTACAGTGTGGTATAGGGTAAAGTGTCAAGGACCTCGGTTTGGATCCGAGGTTTATCATTTACTAGCTGTGTTCAGAAAAGAAAATGTGTCAAACAACCCTGTGAGGTATTTTATCCGCCTTTAGAGATGATGAAGCAGAGACCCAACCAGAGAGAATTTACTTATTTATGGTCACACAGCTAGATGTAGTAGAGCCTGGATTCAAGCAAAGGCCTGTTTGAGTCAGCACCTATGTGTTTTCCATTCTACCATCTTAGCTTCTTTTTAGCACTTCTGTAAAGGCGAAAGAGCATGTCTTCAAAGTGATTGCCTCACCTTTTGTCCAAAGCCTTGATAAAAAGTTATGTACTATTATTATCTTTTCAGTATCCAAACATCCCTTTTCTGACTCCCCTTGTTTTTTCATATTCCCTTTTTAGGAGAGAAGCCTTATAAATGCACCTGGGATGGCTGCTCCTGGAAATTTGCTCGCTCAGACGAGCTTACCCGCCATTTCCGCAAGCACACAGGCATCAAGCCCTTCCGGTGCACAGACTGCAACCGTAGCTTTTCTCGCTCTGACCACCTGTCCCTGCACCGCCGGCGCCATGACACCATGTGAGCTCCACAGTCGCACTAGAAGAGCTGCCCTGGTCTCATTCCTGCGTGTGTGCTGAGTCCTGACCATCTTTTCCTCTTTGACTCCAGCTTGCCTCTGGATGGTATTGGAGCAGCTCAGGAGCCAAGTTGATGAGACTGGAGGAAAAGATAGCTGATTTCCCATGGTGGTTCCTCATATTCCATCTTCACCTCTCCTCCACATAGGTTTAATAAAAAGTGTGGCATCCATGGTCAGAGATGGGATGTTTTTCCTACAATAACAAAACAGGAATCCAACTCAAGGCTGTGAACAAACATATGCTGCTTTTTTCCTGTTGTTTTTTTTCTTCTTCTAGAATTCTTATCCATATATATATTTTTTTTTGAATCTGTACTTAAAAGTGGTTGGTAGTGTTTTAAAATGACTTTTTTTCAAGTTCCTAGACAGAAGAGGGCATAACAGTGTAGTTCATTGGTAGAATAGACTTGGGTCCTTAGCATAGGACACATTCTCAGTGAATAAACTGAGTCCCATAGAAAACACAAAGGTTTTGCAAACCCAATCCTATTTGTTCTTACAGCTTGGTTTTCACACAGTGCAGGCACTTCTGCTTCTTAAGTCCATCGAAGGAAATGAAGGGATCTTTTTGTCTGTCTCCTCCTCCTTCTTTCTCTTCCTCCTTCAAGATTAAAGATTTTACAGCACAATCACAATTTTTCTTAGGTTAAATATTAATTAGGACAAATATTCAAAGCACACATTGACATGCCAGTAGGGTGAAGGGTGTTTCAGGAGAGTGTGTTGGACCATGACAGGAAGAAGCAGAACCAGGATAATCCTGAAAACAAATAGAGGGGGACTTTCACTTGGATATCACAAACCTCATTCAAATGGCAGCCTGTCGAGATAGTGTTTTGAGGGGCTGCACTGTACTGTTTATTCTTTGTTTACATAAAGCAACTATTATGAGTATAATGCATGATGAGAAATCATACACTGGGGCCATGTTATAGAAAAGTGAGGGGTTGTAAGAAAAATATTTGTTCATTCCATGGCATTATTAGCATGTATTCCTGTGTTTCAATTGGAATATAAGAGGCTTTTAGTGAAAACTGAAATACAGAAAGCAATTTGATGTTCTGCAACTGCTATGAGCACCTATGCCATTTCTTTTAGCCATTACAGAATGTTGCATAATACACACATTTGGTTACCAAATTTGACTGTTTCATAATAGTCTCTGCAACATAAAACCCTGTGTCCCAGGCTCTGGACCTCAGATCTACCTCCACATGTCATATTTCCTCTCTCCAGGGAGAGGAGGAGTTTGCATTACTTAACTTTGGACTCAACCTCTCTCCTAAAGGTTGTATTCATATGGAGCCCCCTTTCCTTGACAGAAATTCAACTAGTCTTGGCTTAAATACTTTAGGTTACTACCTCCCAAGGATTATCCATTCTGAATAAGTCATAAAATTCTAACAACAGTAAGGGATCCTAATAACCATCTAGTCCTACCCATCAGTCATATTTTACAGATGAGACAAATACGGGTCAGATTCTTTCCGCAGATGTTTCCTTGAGGCCTTATAGACCTGCATACCCATTCTCCCAGGGATCACATTATTAAAGCAAATTAGAGAAAACTTGACATGATTGGTTGCAGTATTTGTCCAATTTTATGTTATACTTCAGAAAACAGACCACTCAGTTGATTAAAAAGTAAAGTGTTCCTGTGGTCATGGACATATAACACTAGGCACACAATTTTTCTCTTCTAAAATTTTTCTCTTTCTTTACTTTCTGTAATATCTCAGAATTTATTTACCTCATTTAAACATACGATGTCCAGATCATAAAGCTTTATAAATTCAAGGCCTGCCTGTATCATTCAAAACGACATGTGGATATTTACCCTTCTCATTGTTATTTTGAAATAGACTTTCCTCTGACTTTTGGTGTGTAAGTTCCACACTGTAGACTAAAAGGGAACTTTTATGTAGCTCTAAGATTGTTAAAGGTGAATTAACACCTTGATATGGTATTTCACAGTAGAGTCCAAGGACCCATTTTCTCCAGAGTTTGGATCCTGAGACTCCCTTTTCCAGAGTTCATATCTGTCTTGTGCCTCCCATGCCTCAGTATCTTTTGCATTGGAGCATATAATCTATTAATAAATAAAGGCTATCGAACGTACTATTGTACTAACCAGGATGATCAAATTAAATTTCCAAATATTGATATCTCTGACACCCTTAAGCCTGTATTCAAAAATTTTCCTGCAAAGTAATGAGGGACTTTGTTACTGCTTTATTAATAGTCCCATCCAAATGATGATAAAAATCATTACATCTTTTTCAAGAAATGTGTCAAAATTTATGAGTATTTCATACCATACAGGGATTCAAATACAGTACAATATAGTACTGCACCAAAAGCACAAATAATTTTGTTAAACAGACTGTGAGATGAAAAGGAACTGTAGCTCTTAAGTAGCCTTGTTCAATGGGGTTAGATAATATCCAGGGATTTGTTGCAGTGGAGTTCCTCCATCTATAGATAATTGTCAGTCGAACATAACTATTGATGATTATAATTGGAAAATTCAGGAAAGACTAAAGAATGTGAACTGGTTGGTTAGATTAGGTGGAAAGAATTGTGGGTAAGACAGAAAGGCTTGTGAGGGTAACTTCTTTTTAAATAAAATGTTTATTTTAGAACAGTTATAGATTTACAGAAAATTTGTAAAGATTCTACAGAGAGTTTCCCTATACCCTACATCCAGTTTTTCCTATTATTAACATCTTTCTTTAGTATGGCACATTTTTTTATAATTAATGAAGTAATATTGCTACTTTATTAATTGAAATCCAAACTATGTTTAAATTTCCTTAATTTTTACCTAATACCCTTTTTTTTGTTCCAGCATCCCATTCAAGATACCACATCACATTTAGTGCTCTAATCTTCTTGGGCCTCTCTTGATTGTAGCAGTTTCTCAGATTTTCCTTTTTCCTTATGATCTTGACAGTTTTGAGGAGTATGTCCCTCAATTGAGATTTGTCTGATATTTTTCTTATTAAATTGAGGTTATGAGTTTATAGGAGGAAGACCATAGAGGTAAACTGCTATTTTCATCACATCTCATTAGCGTGACTTAATCCGTGATGTTAACCTTGATTATCTGGCTGAGATAGTGTTTGTCAGCTTCCTCCTCTGTAGTTTCTCCCCCACATTCCATACTGTACTCTTTGGAAAGAAGTCATTATATACAGCCTACACTTAAGGAATGGGAAGTTGTGCACCACATCCTTGAGTGTAAGTATCTAAAAAAATTATTTGGAATTCTGCGTGGGAAATTTGACTCTTCTTCATTTATTTATTTATGCAACAATTTACTTGTGTCAGTATGGACTCACATTGACTTTATACTTTGGGTTATAATCCAATAAAAACTTATTTTGTATGCTCAAATTGTTCCAGATTTGGCCATTGGATGCTCTTTTGGGTTGACTCCTAAGTCCTTTTTACATACTCCCATCATTTGTTTTTTAGCATATACTTATTTGCTGGCACTACAAGATGCTCCGGGTTCATCTTGTATATTTTTTGGCCCACTTCTATAATCAGCCATTTCTTTAAGGAGCCCTGACTCCTTTTAATGGAGAATTGTGCTAGAAACCAAGATCTAGGCATTAGGTATGCTTATCGCTACTGGGGTATTGTTGCTTCTAGGCCATCTCAGCTGACAAAGCAAGAAAATATATGCGTGTACACTAACTCATGTATACATACACATATCTACAAATATTTCTATATGTAATCTTCCATATCTTAATTAAGCTAAACGTGAGTTCATACTGATGTTGCCAACACCAGTCCATCACCAAATGTATCATTATAGCCTTTCCCTTTGCTTATCTGTAACTTCCCGCTCAAACAGTAAGAAACCTGTTTCCCACACTCTGACATCTATTTGCTTAATTGTGCAATTCTAGTATAAATGTGTAGCAATATCTGAATTGTCAATCTGTACACTGAGGATGACAACTAGAACACAGTGCTTATGTGCGTGACAGTAACATTTTTAAAACTCCAACAACTCTTTGAAACAAAAGTGATCTGCAAAATTTAGGAATTAGGGATTTCTATGATCTTGGTTCCAGGAATTTGGGAATCTATTCTGCCCCCCAAAGTTTCCTCAAGAACCAAACCATTGGGAATTGAGCTAACCCTGAATAAGCCTAGGGAAATTATTGATCCCCCATAGTGTGCTAATATTTACATTGAGAGATGGACACAGAAGAAAGTGGGTGTGCCCAGTTTAAAATAAAACATAGCACTATCCTTTCTCACTGGCAAATATAGCTCTCTGACATTAAGGGTGCTACCACCCTAAGTTACCTCTCTTCCATGTTTTCCCATCTCTCACTTGGTTGACCTTAGGCAAGTCACATCACCTCTCTGTGCCTCAGTTAACCCATCTGTAAAATGGAGATCTAAATATCTACCTCACAGGAATGTTGTGAGGATTCTTATTAATGGATGTTGGCAACAATGATGGGATATCCATAAATGAATAAAAAGTATGCTCATCGCTATGATGATAATTATAGTACCCTGTATTTACCCTAGAAAAGGGAGAGGATTAGGCTTTCTGGGTGATATAGAGCTAAATTTGAGTCAGTAACAAGGATAATTGAAGAGTAGTCACTGGAAGCAATATTATTTCCTCTCCTACTGTCACTTTTCCTACATTCTCTTTATTACTAACTATAAGATTCTCATCTGTTTCCAGACTCAAAGCATATTAGGGCCTAAAGGGATAGGTAGGCAAAATCCATTGCTTCAAAGCTCCTTTCTTCCCCTTTCCTCACTCTGCCTGGACCACATTACATGTCACCCTGTCAGAAGCACAAAGGTAATTTCCCAGAGCCCTTCAGAGACTAGTCAGTTCTACTTCACCAGTTACATTTTTCTCTTTCCCCACTTACTGTACCCTGAGCAGTATAGGTAGGAGGGAAGTGAGGTGGGATGGTTGGGGAGGGAGTGGGGTGGAAGAGGATGCGATTTATACCAGTGGTAGGATATTTCTTTATTTCTCAAACTCTGGTTTCACCTTCCATTTCCTTTTCTGATGGTAAATTGAGGGCAGGAGGAGAGAGATTATTTTGTTAACTGTTAAAAAACTCTTTCCCTTCCAGTAGATGTCAGTAGTTGTGTTGGACATTACTTTTTAAGTATGTTGTATGCATTGCTGTTTTCATTGTATTTCTAAATAAAAAGAGGAAGAGAATCCCTAGTATTGTCCATCCCCGTTTTTTGTCAGGAGGTCACAGCAGCAAAGCAGTCCCAGAAACGTGTGTGTGTGTGTGTGTGTGTGTGTGTGTGTGTGTGTTGGGGAAAGGAGCCCACAGTGAAGGGACTGACTGAATTTTTTGTCAATGTTTGTTTAAAGAAATTACAGAACAGTATATAAGCTCTAGTCTCTATAACTCTTATATTTGTGCCTCATTATTTCAGTGCTTTAGAGCAGCACCCCATTTTTCCTCTATTTTATACTAGTTCTTGCTCCAGAGACGTGGCTTTGAGGCTAGGATATGAACAATCTCATATACAAGCCTGTTGTGCACCTGGAAATACTCAAGAATTTCCTCAGTTAGCATGGCCACTTTAGGGGTTACTCTGTTCTATCCTAATGAGACTCTCCCTCTGTGGCATTCAGGCAGGGTATGTGCTTGGGTACTAAGCAATCTTGTTATGTTTGATTATTGTACCTTTTTATTAATAAAATATTTTAAACTTCAGATACCATGGATATTATTTTGACTTTGTCTCTATTTTGTGTTTCCTCCACATGGCATGGCGTGAGTAGATGGGGTTTTTTTCCCCCTTAGCTGGGTAAAGTTGTGATGAAACTATTGTATATTAGCATGGGGCAAGAAAAGAAGGTGGTCTGTCTTAAACACAATTTCTCTGTTTAAGCATATGAGGCCCTCCCCATTCTTGGTAATCTAGTCAGAAATGTCCCAGAATGGGGCTTCATGAAGACTGGGTGGTGAGGCACTGATTCAGTTGACTAGCTTTCCCTGCCCATCCCTATTCTCCCCACCATTTTGTTCATGTTTTTTTCTAAGAAGGAATGTAGGAGAAGAGAGAATAAGGACAGCTTTAAACTCCAAAGCTACTTCAGTATAAATACCAGCCTTTGGTGAGGATGTGGGAAGCTGTCTTGTTCGAAGACTCTGCTTTGGGAAGCTTTGTCTTTCAGACAGATACTGGGGGAAAAGTAGAAAGGGGGAAATCCTGTGAGGAGGATTGAAAACAAGATCTAGAAAAACAGATTGAAGGGTGACTGTTTCTGGGGCTGCCAGAAAGTGATTTTTTATTACAAATGATTCAAAACAAGAATTCTCAGGGCTTATGGTTTCCCAGTAATATTTCTTTATTCTGAGAGTCATTGTCATCCCTTTGGGTTAAAAGCAGAATCAATTTGATGCTACAAATATTAACTGAAAAGCTACCAATAATCCAGGCTCTTTGCTGGTTGCTATGGAAATGAATAAAACACAGCAACTCTCAAGCAATTCACTTTCTAATGAGGGGTACCAGAATAAAAACAAACACAGTAGTGTCTTAAGTGTCATAATAGATATATGTTCTATATTTCTGCAAATTAAAAATATGTAAACAATATACCATAAAAAAGTTAAAAGACAGCCACATATATAATATAGGATTTGTATCCAACATACACACTTTGAATAATTATTAATTCCAATGGGTTAAATCTGAAAAGAAAAGAAAATCAATTTGGCTATCAGCTGTCAAGTGTGTATACATTTTGGGGGGATACCCTATATATAAAGAAATCTCACAAATAATAAATATAAAACATGAATAAAAATTATCAAAATTTACAGATAGATTATGTATAGTCAATAAACATAAAAAGATGTTCAACCTCTCTACTAATCATGGAAATAAAATTAAAGTGAATTATTTTTCATTCATTTGAATGGCAAATATTACAAATTTTATAAGACCAAATGTTGGAAGAATATATGGAAATGGGCAATTGTAATACACTGCTGGTTGGAGATAAAAAGTGGTAGTCATATTGGAGGGAATTTTCCTGCATTTTTTATGACCAAAAAACCCATATACCTTATATCCCAGAAATTCTACCTTTTGGTGTCTACAGTGGAGGAACTCTCATATATGTAGAGGTTAATGCATAAAGATGTTCATTTCAGCATTTATTATAATCATGAAAAATTATAGACAATCTAAATGTCTACCAAAAGGAGAATGACAATGAATTATGGTATAAGCTTTTCTGTGGAATACAATACAGCAGTTAATAGGAATTAGGTAGATCTGTATTAAGCTACATGGAATGATCTTAAAATCATTATTTTGGATGAATTCACACCAACTAGATTACTGTGCCTTTGTATTGAGAGAAATGAAGGACCTAAGTTTGAGAGATTAAAATAAGTCTGAGAATACAGGAGGGAGAAACTTGTAGGGCTGGAAGAGAATATGGTTCAAGGGAACAGTGAATACAAAAGCGCCTCTCTTCTGAATTATTTTATAAAAAAAATCACAATAGTTACTTGGGAGAGTTAATACATAAATTCATATTTGAGCACCCACAAGTACATTATTCTGATTCATTTTCAGATTAGGTGCAATCACTGAGCAGAGAATGAGAGTGGAGATAGATGAGAACGAGACCAGGTACATTTTGAAAAGAATTAAAGTAGGTCAGCAAGGAGAAGGTGCATATCCTGGTGAAACCAAAGCAAACAATCATTGGATCTTGGCCAAAAGATCATAAGAAGCCAGAACAGCTGGGTGTGATTGGCCTAGAATAAAGGCTTTTCATCCTTCTCATGAGGCTAGGGGTGTAAGGAAAACTGACCTGATGGCTTGGCTCCTCATACTGAATATCTGGATCTGTTGTTTTCATTCCATTCGTAGCCTGGATATTTTCCCTCAGCATTTTCTCCAAATTATTTTTTTCTACTATTTTTATTTATAATTGATTAATAACGTGTAAGTTTAAGGTGTACAATGTGATACATGTATATTGTGAAATGTTTACTACAATTTAGTTAATGCATTCTTCACCTCACATAATTATCATTTTGTTGTTATGGTGAAAACACTAAAGCTTTGCTTTCATAGTAACTTTCAAGTATACAGTACAGTATTATTAACTATAGTCACCACCACACTGTACATTAGGTCTAAATTTGTTCATCTCATAACTGAAAGTTTTTATACCTCTCCATTTCTCCCACCACTCAATGCTGGCAAATACAATTCTACTCTCTATTTCTTTGAGGTTGACATTTTTAGATTCTACTTATAAGTGAGATCATACAGTATTTGTCTTTCTCTGCCTGACTTATTTCACTTACCAATTGCCCACAAGATCAATCCATTGTTGCAAATGGCAGGATTTCCTTTTAGCTGGTTGAATAATATTCCAGTATACATATACATTTTTAATCCATTTATCCATCAAAGGAAACTTATGTTGTTTCCATATATTGGCTATTGTGAATAATGCTGAAATAAATATGAAGTGCCTATATCTCCTCAAGAGAGTGAATTCATCTGTTTCAGAAGTGGCATTGTTGGATCATATGGTAATTCTACTTTTAATTTTTTTAGGAAAATCCATATTGTTATCCAGGAAGCTGTACCAATTTACATTCCCACCAAAAGAGCACATCCTTTTTGTTCACATCCACATCAGCATTTGTTATCTCTTGATTTCTTGATTATACCTGCTCTAACAGGCTTGAGGTGATATCTCGTGGTTTTGATTTGTATTTCCTGAATGATAGTGCTGTTGAGCACATTTTCATGTACTTGTTGGCCATTTATAATATCTTCTTTGGAAAAATTTCTACTTAAGTCCTCTGCCCATTTTTAAAATCTGATTTTTTCTTTTTGTTATTGAGTTGTATGAGTTTCTTATATTTTTTGGATAATAACCATTTATCAAATATATGGTCTGCAAATTTATTCTCCCATTTTGTAGGTTGCCTTTACATTTTGCTGATCATTTATTTTGTAGTGCAGAAGTTTTTAGTTTTATGTACTCCCATTTTTAAATTTTTTTATTTTGTTGCTTGTACGTTAGGTATCATATCCAAAATCAAGCCAAGGCCTAGGTCATGGAGCATTTTTACTATGTTTTCTAGGAGTTTTATGGTTTCTGGTTTTACATTTAAATTTTTTTTTCCTTTGAGTTAATATTCGTGAGTATTGTAAAATAAGAATCTAGTTTTATTCTTTTACTTGTGAATATCTAATTTTCCCAGCACCATTTCTGAAGACTGCCTTTTTTCCATTGAGCATTCTTGGCTCCCTTATCAAATATTAATTAACTATATATGCCTGAATTTATTTTGGGGCTCTAAGTTCTGTTCCATTGGTCTATGTGTCTTGTTTTATGCACACCATACTGTTTTGATTACTACAACTTTAAAATTTAGATTGAAATCTGAAAGTGTGATACCTCCAGCTTTGTTCATTTTACTCAGGATTCCTTTTGCTATTCAGTGTCTTTTGTGGTTTCATATAAATTTTAGAATTGTTTTTCTACTTCTGTAAAATATGCCATTGAAATCTTGATATGGGTTGCATTAAATCTATAGATGGTTTTGAATAACAGACATTTTTAACAATATATATATATATTTTAAAATATATCTTTATTGATTTCAGAGAGAGGAAGGGAGAGGGAGAGAGAGATAGAAACATCAATGATGAGAGAATCATTGATCGAGCCCACAACCTGGGCATGTGCCCTGACCGGGAATCGAACCCCGATCGCCTGGATCCTAGGTCTACACTCAACCGCTGAGCCACGCCTGGCCGGGTGTTTTTAACAATATTAATTCTTCTGATCTACAAACATGAGATACCTTTCCATTCATTTGTGTCTTCTTAATTTCTTTCATCAGTGTCTTATAGTTTTCCAGGGATGAAAAGTACATCATAGGATATATAGTCATTAATATTGTAATAATTATGTATGGTGTCAGATGGGTATTAGACTCATGGGGGAATCACTTTGTAAGTTATATAAATGTCTAACCACTATGCTGTACACCTGAAACTAATATAATATGTGTATATATTATATATCTGTATATATGTGTATATATACAGATATATATATATATCACAATAGTAAATTACAATTACACAAATAATATGTGTATATATTATATATCTGTATATATATCTGTATATATCTGTATATATCTGATATATA